TGGAAAAGTGTAAGGCAACATGCATAAAAGGTAGGTTTCCAGGAAGCCTGTCGGGTTACTGGGCCTAAATGCAGGGTTAGTAATTTTAGAAAAACAGTGCTGTTTCCCGAGAAATCCCATTGTTTACATTTCTAGATTTCCTAGTCAACCATTGTTTTTGATTTCTTCGTGCCAGTTATCATAAAATTGTGATGCCTCATTTATGATCTTAGAATCTCCCCTACAGTGAAAAGGGAAGGAACCCTGAAGTCGACTGCAGAACTTCATAGGTTCAATGAAATGAGTGCAGTTAACTTACGTGAGAGCTGGGTTGGCAGGAATTGTTTTTCTATAGACTTGGCTGCACCCCTAAAAGCAATGCTCTCCCAGCACTCTTCCCGGAAGATAATGATCAGAGAGCTGAGTGTTAGGCTCCTAAGATAAGTATATTAACGCATACAAATTTCTACCATGTGAGTCAGCTTAGTATTTCTAAGTCTAAGACTGACCTAGAAAGGAGTCATTCTTATTGGAATTTTAATACTGCAAAAAAAAAAATCAAAATTTCATCCTTGCCATATACACTTTACCTAACCTGGCTTTGGTGTTGATTTTTACTGCTGTAGGACTATAAAGCACATGATAATGTGTTATTAAACTTTACTGGATATTATTACTTTGTAGTCACATCATAATTTTATAACATTTTAACAAGGTTTACAAATTTTATCATCATTGGTCGTTTTACATGATGCTAATGCATAGTTGGGGAGCTATAGGCAGCAAGATATTACACATTCCAAAAGCTGCATGGAGTTTTAAAAGGTTTCAACAAAAAGAATTGATATAGCCCAATGGTGGTGGTGGTGGTGGCAGCGGCAGCGGCAGCGCATGCCTTTAATCCCAGCACTCAGGAGGCAGAGCCAGGTGAACTTCTGTGAGTTTGAGGCCAGCCTGGGCTACAGAGCAAGTTCCAGGACAGGCTCCAAAGCTACAGAGAGAAACCATGTCATGAAAAAACAAACAAAAAATTTGAGGGGGTAGATACATTTAGCCTCACCTAAACATTACTCAACATATATGTGTAGTGAAACATGACATAACACCCTATTACTATGTATAAGTCTACTTTTTCATATGTCAAAATAATTTTCAAAAAAAGGAAGTAGGAGCTGGAGGTTCAATTCAGTGGTAGATTTTTTTTACATAGCATTTATAAGGCCCTGTATTTGATATACACCATCACCACAAACAATAATAATAAACAAACAAAAATGACTGGCTATAATCATCTATAAATAAAAGTAAACTTGAGTCACTAAAACTTCTGTATGAGGATAATATTAATGGGATTATGTAACTGTTCTAGTTTAAGTTCATAATATTACATTATAAATGATAACCGTTAATTCACATACTTTCTTTTACAGGTTATAAAAAGAAGACTGTAAAGACACCATCCGGAGCAGGTGAACTTTCACTTATGTGAAAATTAGTAGCATTTATCTAAGACAGCCGGATATTCAGTTTATATACCTCTGTTGCGGGTCAACTTTGAATCTACATGACACCCTATTAAATGTAATGCAGAGATAATGTTTCCTTAAGTGGATACAGTGGAAACTTAGACATTCCAGACACTGGGCAGTAGGGAGGCTCCATGGACCATGAGTTTTGTACACAGCTCTCCAGAGCGTTTGTTCTCAACCTGTGGGTCGTGACTCCCTTCAGGGAGGTCGAACAACTCTTTCACAGGGGTGGCATATCAGACATCCTGCTTATCACATATTTACATTACGATTTATAACAGTAGCAAGCAAAGTTACAGTTATGAAGTAGCAACAAAATAATTTTATGGTTGGGGGTCACCATACATGCGGAGCTGTATTAAAGGGTCGCAGCATCAGGAAGGTTGATCCAGAGCCACACAGGCTGTTTTAACATCACGCAGATAAGGATGTAGCCCTTGACTGTCTCATTTTAGTTCTCCAATCCATTGCTAATCTCAGCACTGTGTGACTTTAGTACATGTCATTGCATGCGTGTGTGTTCTTGAGTTGTCACCAGTGTGCAAAAGTGAGCAGAGATAGTTAACGGTAATTGCCTTCATCATTAGTTAGTGTGCATACATTTTTTTTTTTGTAGAAAGGTTTTTTTTTTTTACTAGATCTAACTCTTTTAAAGGACTTGTTATAATAATAGTAAAATTGGGTTAAGAGAAACAAGCTCCACCCCCCCCCCCCATTTTGCCATTCATATTACTATGTAGTCCAAAGATGTGCCAATCACCAGGTTCAACCTGCTTTAAATAAAGGCCTAAAATGTATTTAACCCAATTACCACTTATGATATTTGTATTAAATAGGAAAATATCCAAAAAATTAAGCTGTTTAACTCAAAATACTGAGCAGATAAAGTCATTTAAAGAAAGCAAAGATGCAAAATCCAAGGTGCACTTAAATTTTATACAGTTTTAATTCTCACCTATCTGCGAAACAGTTGAAAATATCTTTCACTAATTGGAAATCTTCAGACATCACGTACCAGAACTCAATTTAAAAATGCATAAAATAGCCGGGTTGTCATGGCACATGCCTTTGATCCCAGCACTTGGGAAGCAGAGACAGGTGATTCTCTGAGGTTGAGGCCAGCCTGGTCTACAGAGCGAGTTCCAGGACAGCCAGGATTCTATAGAGAGACCCTGTCTTGAAAGAACAAAACAAACAAAAGGAATAAAATAAACTCAATCACAATTTGTATAACAAATAAAAAAATTATTCATAATTTTAAAAGTATATCCCTTCAAATAGTGAATTATCTTGGTAACAATGTTCAGTACTCCAATTAAGTAAGCTCATAGTTATTGTTAGTATTCAAGAAAACAGTACATTTATAAAATGAGTTTTGTCTACAAGTGAAATGGAAATAGCACCATCAAAATATTAAGAGTTCTTTTAAAACATAGAATTAGAGAAAAGTTAAATGCCAGAAAATTTTTATTGTAAGAATAGAATGTAAAAATATATCTTGGAATTCAAGAAACAATCACTTTAAATATTAAATATGAAAAAGATTAATGCTCTGAACATATGAATGTTAAAAGTGTTTAGTTGCTTCAATAACTCCATAGTAAAAATTCCATCAAATTGAAGTTGATATGCTTCCTAGCATTGAAACAGGATTGAAATTGATTTCAATTCCCAAGTTTAATGATAATGACAATATTACAAGATATCAAAAGAAAATCAAAAGATAATGAAGATTCAGGCCACTCTCTCAGAAAGAAAGATTAGTCTTAAGCAATTTCTTGGGAGGTAGGCATGCATGAAAGTTGGCATTATACTCCTACGGCTTATGAAAGAGGCTGCATGGCTTGCATCAATATTCTTACTCAATTATAGCTGAGCACCGTTTACCACAACTGTGTTGCTGATTGTTTTTTTTTCTTCTTTTGTGGGGGTCTGCCACCCAGCTCCCAAATAAATCACACACGAGGCTTATTCTTAATTGTAAATGCCTGGCCTTAGCTTGGCTTGTTTCTTGCCAGCTTTTCTTAACTTAAATTATCCCAGCTATCCTTTTGCCTCTGGACTTTTTCCCTTTTCTTACTTCTGTATATCTTACTTTCACTGTTACTCCATAGCTGGCTGTGCAGCTGTATGGCTGGCCCCTAGCATCCTCCTCTCCTTATTCTCTTGCTCTTTTTTTTCTCCTTCCTGATTTCTCCTTCCATTTATCCTCTCTGCCTGCCAGCCCCGCCTATTTCTCTCTCCTGCCTTGCTATTGGCTGTTCAGCTCTTTATTAGACCATCAGCTGTTTTAGACAGGCACAGTAACACAGCTTCACAGAGTTAAACAAATGAAACATAAACAAAAGTAATACACCTTAAAATAATATTCTACAATACAAGTTTGTATGCAATTCCAAAAGAATGACACTTTAAGGAATATAGAGAATTACTTTATTTATAATCTTGTTTTTTTGTTTTAATTTATTAATTTAATTTAATAATTCTTGTTTAAGAATTATTTCACATGTGTGCATTCTCAGTTTTCTCCTAAAATAAATTCATATAATTTGTGGGGGTCTCAGGTAAAAAAAGCTTCCATATAGAATTTATTAATAATGATCATTAGCATAAATTATATTATAATTTTGCTTTTAATGTGCAATATATCTCATTCATTAATTTTTTATGCATAAAATTTGTATATATTTTTAAAAGATTTATTTACTTATTTATTATGTATACAGTATTCTGCCTGCATGTATGCCTGTACTGCAGGCCAGAAGAGGGCGCCAGAACACATTATAGATGATTGTGAGCCACCATGTGGTTGCTGGGAATTGAACTCAAAACCTCTGGGAGAACAGCCAATGCTCTTAACCTCTGAGCCATCTCTCCAGCCCCCCAAATTTGTATATTTTTAAGATTACTTAAAATTTCATGAAAAGTTATGTCCTAAAATTAAAGTGAGAATTGAATGTATGTGTTTTTCCCCTTAAAATATTAAAATTTACAGAACTGTTTTTCCCATTTTGTATATATGACACAATTACATATTATAGTGACACTCACACTGAAGGGCAGGAATGTGACAGGAAATGATTATACAACACTAGCCATTAAAGAAACACAAATCCAAACTCAAATGAGCTGTCATTTCATACCTGTTAAATCCATACAGCAATCAGGAAAAACCATATGGATGCTCCTCAGCAAAATTTTAAATCAAAAATTGAACTATCATTTAGTATAGTAATCAACTCCACTACTCAGTACATATCAACGAGAAGGGAAATCAATAAGTTGCACATACCATTCATTGAATTATTATACTGCAAGATTATGGAATGAACTAAAGTTCAATCTGTGAATAAAGGGATGAAGAAAATGTGTCATATTCCACACAGTGTGAAACTATTCAGCTGTGGAAAAGAAGGAAATCTTGTTACTTGCCACAACATGGCTGGACTTGGTGAGCATCATGCTGAATGCTACTTACAGCATGGTCTCAGTCATGGAGTCTTAGAAGGGTCATCTAAGAGTAGAAAGTGGCATTGTCATTACCCAAGACTGTGTGGTGGAGAGGTGACTGAGGAGAGTCATCGCATAGGAGGGAACATTCAAAAGATCTACCAGATACATATATACATACATACATACATACATACACACACACATATGTTTTTCAGGGCTGACCATTTGGCATTGGATAGCTAATTAGTATGCTCTTTCCTGGGGACTATATCTCAGACTCTCAGCTTTCCTCAGTTGCCTGTAGTTCTTTGTGTAGGGTTGAGGACTCACGGTCCTTCCCCCAGCCCCCCGTTCCTGTTTAGCATATCTGTTGTTATTGTTCTTGTTCAGCTCATGTTGGTGAGACTTTATCCGTATAGTTTCTGACTTTCTAGGAGCCACCATCTTACAGCAAACTCTCCATTCCCTTGGATCTTGCATTCATTCTGCCCACTCTTCCACAATGATCCCTTAGCCTTAGGTGCAGGATTTGTGTTATAGATGTATCAGTTCGGATTGATCTTCATAAATTTGCATATCAATTAGGTGTGGGTTTCTGTAATTGTCTCCTGTTTTCTTAGTGCAGGATGAGGATGACACTTATCTGTGAATATTGAAAATGTAGTTAGGGATTATGCAGATTTAGTGGGGGTTTTAGGTTCTCTAAGATCCATGACTTCATTATCCCTGGGTAGTTGGCTAGGTTTCTGGAATCAGGCATGATTTCTCTCTTGTTTAGTGGGGTCTTAAGTACAATTATAGAGTTGTTGGTTACTGTCAAGATATGTGTACCACTACTGCACTCTATGTCCTTCTGGTCATTTTTGTTTATAGTTGTTATGGCTGGGTAGGACTGTTGGTCACCTCATTCCTTTGGAAGCTTGAATGGTGCCTTCTGGTACTATGAGAACTAGTCCTCAGGGAGGAGGCTTTCAGGTCACTTCCAACTTAGGGGACTCTGGGCTCTGTATCTGAAGTGCATGAATGCATACTTTTGATAGTAGAGCACTTGTGAGCACTGACTTCCTGATATATACATTTAAAAAACAAAAACAAGTTGCTTTAAGACATGGGAGGTTATCATAGTTCATTTTGCTACCACAGAAATATATTTATAGGAGAAAATGGAGGAACTGGAACTTTGTCCAAAATATTCAAGTGCCGTAAGACGTTTGAGCATAATACGTTTGAAAACTAACTCAATTCTCTTCATAATATGCACGTCGAGATTGCAATGTAGGTCACAATATCACAAATTCTGTGACAGCTGTGTTCAGCCTGCTTTGGAACATGATCAAAGGAAGGGGATTAGACTTTGCAAAGGCCCTTCTAATCCCTGAACATGTATTTCCTTTCTGCCTCTACATTGTTGGTTCAGTCCAACGCTTGGAAGAAGAAGAAAAGAGAGGGTGGGGAGGGCGGGAGAGACCCAACAGTGGAGGACACCATACTGAGCACAGATATCAATTCCAGCATAAGAATTCAGGAACTCCAAGAATAGCCAAGGCAACTTCCGTACCTCTAGGATCCTTTCCAATGTTTAAGACCTCTATAGCATTCATAATGAACTAATACAGTACCCCTTCCCTAATGATTCTCAACACTTCAGTGGACCTCTCTTTAATATAAGTGCATTGAACTTAGTAGAATTATTAAAGTAAAACTTACCATAATATTTGTACTTCTGAAGCAAGGCCATCATATATCAAATAACCCACTATGCTTTATTTTATTGGTTCATAAAAATGTTGATAGTAATTCCCTGTAATCTAATATAAGAAATTTAGAACTGCAATACCAGTTAAAAAAAAATACAAGACTTAGTTTCATCTTCCTTATTCCAAGTACCCAAATGGTTAGATAATGGTTCAGTTTTTAATAAAGACATTTTATTTATTTTTAATGAGATAACAATTATCTTCTGGTTTAGCTTTTAAACTTTTAAAATTGGTTTTAAGTTTATCTTCCAAATAACTTAATTATAAACGTCATTAAAATAACTAAATGCTAATAACAAAAGAAGAATATTTCTTTCTGATGTTTTTTTTTTTTTTTTTTTTTTTTGCCATTTCTAGAAAAGCCAGATTTCTGCTTCTTAGAAGAGGACCCTGGAATCTGCCGCAGCCACATTACTAGGTATTTTTATAACAACCAGTCAAAGCAGTGTGAACAATTCAAGTATGGCGGGTGCCTAGGCAACCTCAACAACTTCGAGACTTTGGATGCGTGTAAGAGCACCTGTGAGGATCCAGGTGAGTTCACTTCTCATCTCATTTGGGTCTATTAAGAAGGGTCATTTAAAATGAGGACTCTTTGAGAATATACCCAGATTCTATTTAAGCTGCACAAACAGGTAGGAGGTCTGAAAGAAATTCCCAATTGTGTTAAAAATACATACAGATAATTAGCACATCTCTACAGTTACTCTAAATCTCATAATATTCTCAGATATAATAGTTAACTTTCTTCCCTCAGAGTACTGCAGTATACATTCAGCAAAATGGTAGGACTGCTGAAATCTCTTATTCTTAAAAAAATATGAGGGTTAATGATTACTCATAAAAATAAGAAAAGGAAACCTTATGCATTAACTGTTGCAGGATTTTGGTCACTAGCTACAAAATTACTAATGGAAATCTTAACCTGCACATGTATTTAAGATTCCCTGTTTGCTAATTTAGAACAGTGGGGGGCTAACTTGCAGCGTCTGCTGCTCTTAAGCCAATAGTTGCTTTTGCTTGTGTATAAAGATATGAAATTCTGTTGTGTTTTCAGGCTGTAATTGCGTATGTTGTGTTTTCCCCAGTGAATGAGTTACAGACTAGAGACTACACACCTGATCTCAATACTGTAAATACCACTTTGACCCCCCAGTCTACCAAAGTGCCCAGCAACTGGGGTAAGAATCTTATTTTTATTATTATTTTATGAATATATTATGGTAACAATAGAAGTGGATGCGTGTTAGAATTATCTTTTTAAAAATGATGATTTTATTATTTGAGGATATGTTAAAATATAGATATTTGATGAATTTCAGGCGCTTTATCTCATAAAAGTAATCATTTTTCTTAATGTCTTTTAAAATGTTCTTTAAAGAAGAGCTTCTGTGTATGTAACAGGTAGAAATGTGTACATGACACATTCTTTGCTTGTTTTAATTTAGCCTCATTATTTAGTTTGAATAATCTGTTAACATTTTCTGTTAGCTTTTTACCTATCCCAGACTTTAAAAAACTAGCTTTTAAATATAAGACTTTCTGTCTACTGAAATTATTCAGTGAACAAGTTATCCATGTTCGTTGCACAGAATATTCTATGCATTTTTTCCCCAACTGGTATTCACTGGCCTGCTCATCTTCTTGTCTATGGATTCACTACTGTACTGAAGTCTCCCTCCTCTGCCTTTCCTCTGGTTACCCAATCAGATTCATTTAACATGGCTATCACTTAATGTGTTTGCTTTGCTTGAGTTACTATGTTATACAGTTTTGTGTGTGATCATTTATCTCCTGCCTCTCTTCCAGCATTTGTCTCAATGTTAAGCATAAGATAGATGATTTACATTTTTTGTTTATTAATTTTGTGATCCACAGTTACAAAAGAAGGAACAAATGGTGGTTGGAAGAATGCTGATTATACTTATCAAGTCTTTTTGAACATCTTCTACATTCATGTACTCACATTTTTTATTTTTAGGATTGGATAGCATTCTATGTATTTCATATTACATGTTATCTTTGGGTTTACTTAATAGTTAGATGGTATACTTGATCTTTTTATACTTATAATTAATAAAGTTTTAATATTAACATTCATGGTTAGCATAGTCTTTTACTACGTCTAACTGGTAAACTTCTCAACTAGGAAAGGGAGACTAATATTTTCCAAATGCTCATAGCCCACTTTGCTTCTGTACATCATCTCTTAACAGTTGCCTTGGGACTATATCACCTTTATGATATTTTGAAAAAACTCATCTTTGGTTAGACTTCAAAAGCCTACTGCTAACTCAATCTCCAGCACTTGGTCTCTGAATGAGAAAGGGAGCACCTAAGTACCGATCCAGGGCCATACTGCTTCAGGCCGGCCTCCAGGTCCAGGGAAAAACACTAGATATAACAAAGAAGACCTTGTGGCCACTTGAAACTCTCTTCTGACTCTCTATGACCTAGTGCCAAACTCCACATACATAAAAATTGGTGGAAAATAAATAAATGAATAAATATGTAATTATACATATATGTATATATATATTATCATTGGCCTTCTGGAAGAGGAATAATGTTGACAGAGAAGCTATTCAATAATTAAATGTCATCGCTGATGTGTTCATGTCAGAGATCTACAATAGAATATTTTCAACTCTATGTTGTCTTGGAAGATATTGATTACATGTAGAGGAATACTGCAATCATGTAAATTTTCTGGGAAGAAACTATCCCCTTACCAAGTAAACAGTTACACATTTAAATGCATATCCCACAAAATCATGAATGCTGTGGACAGTGCCGTAAACCTCATTTCATCAACAAGCACACACAATTTGAAGCAAGTATGGTGGCCTTCCAATGTATTCTCACTGAGAAGCATAGACTGTATCTCATCCTCCATATTCCTACATAGTAAATCCGGTTGCTTGTGCTGACACCCTGGCAAGTTGGCTTTCCATAAATAGAGAGCTTTAGCAGAGCTCACATCAGGCCTTCTACTTCCTGGCAGGAGTGCTGGCAAGAAACAAAAATGTGGCACTTCCTCTGCCAAGATCTCAGCTGTCACCCTACCTACCCGGCAAATCTCTTCACAGACAGTTTTGAGTCTAATCAAAGATAATGGTTGTCCCAGACAGCAGAGCCCTCCAGAGAAATGTTTCTCAAACATCAACAGATACTTTTTATAAGAGATGAAATGGACAATTTCACTGTGTCAACCAAATTAGCTTAAATGACGTTTGTATTGAATAAAGTAATAGAAATTTAAGTGTGTGACAATTATAAAGCTACAACAAAAAATAGTTGCAGATTACTACAGATCAAACTACTAACTAGCACTGTTAATTTGTTAAGATTTCTTTTTCTCAAAACCGTAAGAGAATCCATATTGGAATATGAATTTTGTATTGACAGTAAAAAGATAGACTAGGAATAAAAATTAGTTTAGAAAGATTAAGTCTTAGTTCTCGAGTGTCATTTTTCTCTTTAAAGACTGGGTGATCTCTGTAGAAATGAAGTGAGAAGCACCCATGGAAGAGCCCCCAACTCTCCCTTTAACAACGCCACAGGGCTGTCTTCCCAGTTTTCAGTTATATGGATGCCAGGAGCTTACTCACTGGTATGCATCTGATCACGGAGACAAAGGCCTGGGCTGTGTTTTGTGATTTCTAGAATGAGGCCAGGTTGAACACGCCAACCTAATGATTCCTGCCTTCAGATGTTGGAGAGCTATTTGGCTCACCACTGTTACCCCCAAGGCTGGTTTCCAGGCCCCCTTATTAAGGTTTTTGTTTCAGTCAGGTACCTTCCTCCTGTTCAGACTTGATGAACACTGATTCATACATGTGATGGTGCATGAGGCATATTTAGATTGTTTTGATTGGAGATTGATGGAAAGAAGGGATTTGGAGATTAGAAATAATGAAGTTTCATAAACTTTATCTGATAAAATTATTGTAATATTTGCCCAGGAAGTCTAGAAGTATTTTCTACTTAGCTTTAGAGTGATGTCTCATCGTGGGCAAGAACATTGGTTTCATGAGTGGAATCTGAGTTTAACTTCAGTTCTGTAATTTCCTGACTTGTTTTGTACCCTTGAAAAAAAGCATGTGGTTTCTCTCAGCATCCAGTTCTTTCTTTGCTACATGTGGAATGCAACATGTCATAAAATGTTTAAAAATACTGTAATAGCATGTAAAACTCTTCATCCTGTGTTGCCATTAACAAGAATATTGATTTTAAGACTGGTGTTGGTGATGATGACGCTGACCCAGATTCACCTAAGATATATAGACATAAAAGAAGTAGCTCAAAGATATTGTTAATGCATATTTTATTACAGTTTTAATACAACTAAAGTTGTAACCTTGAATTGAAGAATCTTAATTCATTACAGTTATCTGAATTAACACACAGTGCTTGTAAAATCCTAGCATACTTAATGAAATAAAATTTCATCTTTTGTGCCTCTGGATTTTATTTGTGATCATTGGAGGCTTAAAACACCTGTCTGTCTACCTTTATGACACAAGGTATAGATTTGTGTGCTTTCTAGTTTAGGTGAAATTTGTAAATTTGTGTATCTGGCTGATGGGGATTGTAATAGAATTTGGAAATGGAAGAATGAAAATATGAGGGTGCTTTTGTTCTTTGGAGATGCAATTGCCAGGTAGGAGAAGGCTTCAGTGATGAGTTCTTTTTTATTTTTATTTTTGGTTTTTTCAAGACAGGGTTTCTCTGTGTAGTTTTGGTGCCTGTCCTGGATCTCGCTCTGTAGACCAGGCTGGTCTCGAACTCACAGAGATCCTCCTGGCTCTGCCTCCTGAGTGCTGGAATTAAAGGCGTGCGCACCACCCCCCGACCAGTGATGAGTTCTTACAGGCGGAATGGCAGGATAAGTTGAAACTGAAAATGTGGGCACCAGTGACACAGCTCACAGGGTAAATGTGCTTGCTGCCAAGTCTTCCCTGGGGAAGGTCACCTTTCTCACTTCTGGATTTCCTCAGTTGTTATAGTTCTTTGTATATAGTCTAAATCTGCTTTTCCAGTTTTACACTCTACCATTCTGTTTGTTGTGTTCTGTTCTTTAATGAGTCTAGACTTTCTAAAATACTCCTCCAGACAAACTGGAAATATTCTGATTTTTGTGCTCTCGCCCATATTCTATTGTTTCTCTGATTGTTAAAATCCCATTCTTCTATTGAAGCTAACCAACATATTTAACAAGCCGAAGACAATAAATGGTTAGCTGCACAGACAATGGTCTATGATACACATGTTTTGTGTCAGCAATCATGATCTATTGCCTTTTCTATACAGGGGTCTCAATACAACATTTTTAAGTTTATTTATTTTTATTGTATGTGTATAGGAGTTTTGCATGCATAGATGTTTGTGCATCTCATGTCTGCATTGCCAGAGGCAGCCAGTATCAGTTCCTGGACTGGAAGTACAGATAAATGGCCATGTGGTCCTCTGTAAGAGCAGCAGGTGCTCTTAACTGCTGAGCCATCTCTCCAGCCCCTTGGCACAGTAATTTAAGATGAAAATACTAACCCTCGTATGAGGGTATTGATTGTAAGTATATTTTTTCCAAACATATATTTCCTAATAAAAACACTTAATTGAAAAAAATATATTCATGAAAAATTTCATAATTGTTATTGTCTAAAGCCTTTTTGCTTTCTGTATTGTTAAGAAAAATTCTTGAGTATAGATACCTTAATGAACTCTGAGTATGGATTAGCCAACCTCTAGACAAAAGCAAACAAATACCTACTTAGTTTCTCTCTTTCCTTTTTAATCTGTTTAGGCTTCCCTGTCCAGGAAAGATTTCCTACAGTCTGTTCCTATGACCTTTCAGTCTCAAATTTCTTGGCTGCACAGCCTCTACATTTTGCCCTTTACTGAGTGGCCTAGTACACACAGGGAAAGAAAACTAATCCTCAAAGTAATTCCTCAGCAGTCCTTGCCCTCTTTTCCACGTTGAACGACGTATCAGTTTCTGCTGGTTCAGTGACTGCCTTTTTAGTGAATGGATGTGTGTTTTTTGTCAATCAGTGGCCTTCCTGTCCATGCCAACCAGAGCAAGTTTCAGTCTGCAGCATTTTATTTACCACCTTATGGAACTGAATTACCTCTAGTCAATTATTTTTATTGTGTGATGAACATTAGAATATGTGTGACGAACATTAAACGTATGGAAACAGAGCAGCAGTAAAAATTGGCCATTATCATAGCATCCAGAAGAAAAAAAAATCCCTGTCAATTTGTCAATAAATTTTATTTAACTTGTAAAAAATTCACCTTGGAGCAAATGATTGAAAGACTGTAAGTATCTGCTGAAGGAGTCCAAAAGCATATAATAAGCTCAACACAAAATGTTTTCTCTGTAGAACTTTAGCCTAGTAAATTTCTGAGCTTACAACCTGATAAAACTATATTTATAGTAAATATATCACTTATTGCATTACCTCTCAGTCCTTTGCCTGATGAATAACATATATAATTTTCATTTTTACTTATGTGGTTCTATATGTATGTATGTATGAATTTGGTATCTTGGCATGTAATAAAAATTAGTATATTTTACTATTTTTAGGCTACACATTTTCAACATCTTAACATGATTGTAATCATGATGAAGCCTATCACTGATAGTATGCAATATAGTCAGGTTTTCCTTATTAGTAGCACATAAAATAGTTCATCTTAAAGTCAAAGACATATTAGATTCTGTGATGCTTAGAAGTACAGATGAACTACTATGCATATATTTAAAGTGATATATAATTATATAAAATATAAGCATGTATTCACAAGTTATTTAGACTAGTAATAATATGAAGAGTAGTATATGAATATATGTTTGTATATACAAATGATTTTGAGAAAAACGTTTACCAAATCATCCATAGCAATTTAATTGGGGGAGGGAATTATACAGGTGTTTTGTTCATATTTTTTATGTTTCAGTATTATTTACATTTTTATAAAAATTGTAATAAAATTATGTTTCTCTTTACTACAACTTATAGGAAAAAAAGAAATGACTTGTTATTCAATCCCCCTACTCCCAAAAAATCACAGAAAAAAACAAATCCACAGGTCATGACATGGTTCGTAAATACTAATTTGCTTGATACAGTGAGAAGCTACACAGGAAAGTATTGTGGGAATAAGACATTTCAGTAATGTTTCAGTTCATTAAGCAAGCCCCAGGTTTACTGTATGAATCTTAAAGTAAATTTATGTAAGACATTTTACTTGAAAAGTGGACCCTGGGCCATCACCTTGTACTTTAGCAGTCACACTAGATAGTAATGTTTTCTAACAACAAAGGAAAGGGAGGTCATATGCCACGAAACCCACCAAAAAGCCCTCTAGATGGAATCCACTCACCTTGTTCTTGATGGCGGGATCAAGATAGAATGCATTTGGCTATTAAAGTCCCTTTGGAACATGAGCAGAAGCCATCCAGGTTAGTGTCTTTTTATCCTATCTTAAATTTCTGTCACTAATCATAATCTAGACCAAAGAAATCACTCTATGCAACTACTTCAAAACATGTTTTCTTTTATTGTAGATATCAATGTCTGGAATTTAAATAGGTGAGTGTCTACTTATGTCTAGAATAAATTTGTTAATTGAACATAGGAAAACTTATCTTTTCATGGGGTACAAAAATATTCCATTTCTCACTTCTGGAAATTTAATTAGATGCCAGTCAAGGACTCCAAACGTTCAGCAGAAACTGTCTGCTTTACTTTACGTATGATTTATGATAAAATAATTAAATGGTAGTCAGCATTAAAATCATCCTAAAAACAATGAATCCACTCTAATATTGTCTGCAATTTATGTCCTGGAAAAACAAGTACCTTATAAAAACACTCCCAAATTGAAAATTGTTTTGTATATTTTAATACTTCACTACGTATAATACAAAGTGCTTAGTGATAAATTTCAAATTGTACTCCGCTCTGAAAGTAGCATTCTTTCTAGTATTAGGAGCATGGTTGCTGATGTGATCGAAGGCATGCTGTATTGGATCTGTGTAGACAGGGACTGGTATCAGGATTAACAAAATGAGATAAGTAAACAGCTGCCACTGTTCATTCTTGGGAAGATGCCTCCGAGTGGAGTGAGTGTGTGGTAACAGGATCTGCACACTGACCTCAGCTCCCAGAACCGTGCTAGACACTTATGCAGAAGTCACCATATACAGGCAGCAGAAATGTGAAGCCTTGGATGGTGAAATCAAGCTTTTTCTGATGCACCCATGCTCTTCTTAACTGCCTACTTTCACGTTAGCCTTGCCTTCTGCTCTCCTGTGTTGCATTAAACCCATTTCCCTTGGCCTCTGAGTTCATTGGCCATTAGTAAATATTTCTGGATTATTAGATGGTCAAAGGAAGAGAGAGGCTAGAGCCCATGTGCCCATTATACCTGTGGCATATACTCTGTGACATGTGTTCCCCTAGAAATGCCTGTTCTGGTTCTAGTTTTCACCTGGGATGTAGGCTTTTGCTTTCTGGTGACATTCTTCCTTCTTGCCTCCAGTCTAGGAGCAAAAAGTCAAATTAACTTCTCTTAATTTTGAAGTATGTTCGATTTTGATTATGAAGCTAAACTTTCATCAGGTCATATGCTAAACGAAGAAGGAGTTACTCTCAGAGAGTAACTCTGTCCTGACATAAGGGGCCTTAGGGTGGGCATTGCTATTAAAACACAGTAATTGACATTTGTCAAGAAAGGTACAGTTATAGATATTGATACATTAACGTGCATTATCTGCAACTTACTATGGACTGACACATCTTATACAGGAAACACTAAAGTGAAAGTGATGTATATCTTACATATTCTCTATACACAATTCGTTATAAAATATATGTAGTGCTTGCTGGGACAAAACAGAAAACAAGTAACAAATTCCTCTGTTTCTCAATTTCATTCAATTGCTTCTAGTCTGCCACTTTTGTTTCTGAACCCGGGTGGTGGCTTTGGAAGTTCAGGAGACAAAGGAGGTGCAGTTGCTAACTATTCACATCTAAACTGGTGAGTAATGAGAAAACACAGGCTACCCACTGGAGTCGTTGGACACCAGGAGGACCCAGCAGCAGCATGCCTCTTCTACCTTTAGAATCGCTTTCTCGAGCTCTTCATGGCAGAAAGTGCTAGCATCTGGTGGAAACTTTACAACCCATTCCTATTACACGGTCTTAACTCAGGTTTGTGATGGGGCACATTCATGTTCAAGGATGCACAGTAGCAGAATATAAGCTAATAGTCTAGGCACTGTCTGAACACTGCTTTAGAGATCATAAGGGTTTCTTTCAAGAACAGTGTTTATGTATTTAGCCAAAGACCTAAATGAAACTAAATATTCTCTATGGGAGCATAAATCTTACATTTTGCATATTACCTTTATGAATTTTCTTATATGTTATTCCATTATCCTCAGTCCCTCTCTAATTTTCCAGGTTCTTAATTACTATGTCAGTTATTATGTCTGGACATTCTGATTTCTACTCATATATCTAGAAGGCAGGAGATGATAAAAATGTGTTTATCAAATCAAGACTTTTCTGTGTTATTTCATTTTAGCTATCTTCTTTTACAGTCTATTTCCATCTAGGGTCATGTGCCAAAAGATTGCTGCTACCTTTCTGCACAACCCGCTTGCCTTTGTTGGCCACTGGATTCTTCAAAGTCGTATTTCCTGCCCACGAACATTTATCAAGACTTCCTCTGCATGTGCTGTATGACATCTCACCAGCTGCCGAAGCCACTAAAAGTCTTCCTCCATAGTTCAAGCCCATCCAACACCTTACTTTCAGCCTTCATTTATGACCATCAAACAGCTGAACATTTGAGAAGTACCAGCTTGCCCTTCCTGGGAGAGATCACCAAAGAAATTTAAAAAGTGTTACTAAGCTCCAACTATTTTTCACATTAGAGTTCTTATTATCACTATTATTGTCATTATTATTCTTGTTGCATATTCTTGGTTTTTGAGTGTTTGTTGGTCCTGTTGATAGACAAAGCTATCCATTCCAAACCAGTGATTTACTTTACTATGTAAATATGGAAAATTTATTTCACATATACTAATTGATATGTATTTGTAAATACATAGTTGAAGTTTCAGAAGTTGAGTAGGACATGTTTTGATTGTGTATAACTAATTTGTTCACATAAACACTAACCATAGGCCTTCCTTTTATCAAATGTGCTCTATATTTTTATTGGAGAAAGATTATGGTATTATGACATTTCAATTTGTTTAAGTGAATTCTGGGAATTGAAACTCTAGGGCTTTGTTGTGTATTACTCTTTGTAGGATTCTGCTTTCTTCAGAAGACATGCCATAAAGCCACTCTGCAAGGAATATATAATAAGAAGGCTCAAATTCACAATGCGTAGAGCTTACCAAATGTTCTTGATTTTTAAAATTTCTATTTATTTATTTATTTTTAGAATACCACGGCCCTTCCTGGTGTCTTAGTCCAGCAGACAGTGGACTGTGTCAAGCCAATGAGAAGAGGTTCTACTTCAATTCAGCCATTGGGAAATGCCGCCAATTTAAGTACACTGGATGTGGGGGAAATAGTAATAATTTTACTACCAAAAGAGAGTGTGTTAGAGCATGTAAAAGAGGTATGAAAGATATGCTTCCCATTAAATCACTAATATTTGGAATGACAATTATGTTGAAATTATGAAATACTTAAAGTTATGAAATCACAGATATTTCCTTATTTATAAGAAGTACTATAATGTGTTAGTCAATGTTTGTCCTCTCACCAACTAAACTTAGATAACACTAGTACGTATGCTAGCTATAACTGTTATTCATATGTATTGCAGAACAGTTATCAATTTCAAATAGATTCAAAATTTTAATTTTTTCCTTTTTAAAAGATTTTTATTTTTTTATATATGTGTATATGTGTGCATCTGGATATGGGTATGCCATGTGTATGTGCAGGTGTTTGCAGAGTCTAAATAGGATGGCAGATCCCTTGGAACTGCAGTTACAGGTGTCTGTGAGCTGCCTAGAGTGAGCATGGGGAGCTGAAGTCAGTCCTGGGGAAGAGCAGTGCACACTCTTAATGCCTGAGTCACCTCTCAGCCCCAATTTTCTTTCTTAAATGTTTAAGAGCTAAGAATTTATTTTTAAGAAATATGCTGAAATTCTTGCAAGTTCTCTCTTAATACAGCAAAATTTTAACATTTTGATTATTTTTCTCCTGAATATGATATAATACAAAGAACACAAAGAATATGAAGAACATAGAAATTAAAGAAAACAATATGTTACTCTAATAACCACATATTTATCATACCTACCCTTTTATAAAAATAATATATTTTTAACTGAATTAAAGTATGCTTACCCAGTTTTGGCGACTCTCACACATGCAAAATGACTTTCTTAAAAATAGATTATTTTACAAAAATACAGAGACAAATGAAAGACTTTGAGAAAATTTGAGTTAAATTCCTATGTGTTCTCTTTTCACTATTATCTTACCATTTGTTGTTCTTATTGTAGGTTTCATCAAAAGAATATCAAAAGAAGGAGTAATTAAAATCCAAAGAAGAAAGGAACCTTCAGTTGAAGTAGTATATGAGGCCATTAATTAGTGTTAAGATATAGCCACATTATTGTTACATTAATTTCAATAAATATTTCTATAACCTATTTTTACTATGACGTCTATTCTTGTACTACAATAATGTTAATGAATATGTTAATAGTTAATTTTCCAGGCCATTCTGTCTGCTAAGGATGTGTTTTCATTAGTGTTTCTTTTCCAATCTAGCCAATGTACTTTTTTTAAAGCTATAATTTGTTAACTGGCTACTGTGAATTTTGTCTTGATCCCTTTCAAACTGTTTTCCATTTAATTACAAGTTCTCCTACTCCTAACCACTTGAACCAGTTTTCTCGTTTCCGTTGGTGACCATCTACTGGAAGACATTTCATTTGTTATGATCATGAACATTATGTACCCTTGAGAGTCTAAACCTTCTCAAATGATTTCACTTTTAACAATGTAAGAAATAAAATATTCTACCCTGAACAATAAGCTTGACTGTTACACTGGTGTTTACTAAAGAACTTGTTACTTATCTTGTTACTTGTTTACAAAGTTGTAAAACCAAATAAAAACCATTGCCCCAGGTTACTCTGCATTTCCCCCCCTTATTTAGAACTGGTTGATAATCACTTTCAGTTATAAAAGTGCAGTCATATGTTGTGGTTTCTTATTTGTCAAAGAAAGTAGTACACAATGCCTTAAGGATCCATGGAAGGGCAGAAGAGATGAGTGAGTAGCTAAGAGGAGGTACTGTAGGTACTGTCCCTTAAGACGTGAATTCATTTCCCAGCACTTACATTGGGTGGCAGCTAACAGTCACCTGCAACTCCAGCTCCAGATGCTCCGATGTCCTCTTCCGGTCTCCACAGGCACCCACACACATGTGGCACACACACAGATACGCAGGTACACATAAATAAAAAAAAAACTTTAAAAAAGTCTATGTAAGCTTTTTATATTTGTATTTCCATCAACCATTCCATCAATTATTGTATACAACTAAACATATTATTAAATAAACATTGTATAACTATACATTATATTAATGCTTCCAGTTTAAATTATTTAGTACACTGGGTCCATCTTCACATCAGAAGGAGAAAATGATGCAGAATTAGTCAATTATTTAGAGGGTTTTGATTTTTCTACCAGATGTTCTTACTTTCTCTTGTTTTTATGAAGTTGGCATTTATTTGTTTTCATTCTCTTTGGGTTTCCCATTCTTCCTTAGGTTCTTTGACTTGCACACAGAGGCCATAATTATGTTTCCTGCATCCTCTGTGCAACATAGAATTCCCCACCCTCTGGGCCTTCAGGTCCAGCTCTTGGATTATTCCAACCACACCATTTGTTTCTTAGCTAACATTACCCAGAACACTGAAAAAGGAGCAGAGTGGTTCATAGTAATTTATTTTATAAAAAGGTGCCAGGGAGGAGAGGGGGAGTTGGACAAGAAGGTGAATGAACGGTGAGGAGGAGGGGTTTTTACCAAATAAATTCACATTCGGCCATTTGATCATTACTTAATATAGTGAAAAAATAAATATAAAAAGTAAAGTTTAAGCATCAGTTTCAATAAATCAGTTTCAATAAACGAATGAATTTTTATGAAATGCAACATTTTCTCTGAATAATCTTGCAGCAAAATAAAGATCAGCTAATCTGATGATAACATATGTACCAAAATCATAAGTGACATGAAGTTTAGTGATCAAATTTTAAAATCACTTTATTAAAATGAAGAATAGGGCCTAAATGCTCTCCATTGCTTCTTCTACTTAACATATACCAACAACCTTAGTTTTATAGCAAATATAAAAAGAAAGGATACAGAAATTAGTTGGGAATAGTATATAGTATATATTACATAAATCAAAGAAAGGTCCATGGTCCAGGAAGAATGTTTACTAAACCTGGAGGCTCTGATTTCCAGTGGATGTAATGCCCCATTTTTTCACAGTTTTTGATCCATTTTGATCTCCAGACAAACAGAAGCACTATAATGCTCTTAGGAAGATGATTAGTTACTGACAATAGGAAAAAACCCTAGGAAGACGATGACTAGGTGTTGAAATAGTTTTTTCAGCATTCCCTCAGACTTTTTGTACACACACACTAGGGGAAAGCTTTGCCATTCCCATGGGCCTGACCCGGGAAAGGCTTTGCTGTTCCTGTGGGTCTGAAGCATTGGGGCCTTTGACCTGGTCATGTTCATGTATACAATACACATCAATGCAGGAATTCATCCTCTCCACACACACACCAAACACTTCACCTACCTACTGGCCAAAGCCAGTACTGGTCAGGAAACATCAAAGAAGAGGGGTGGAAAAAATAGAGTAAGTTAGAGGGTTAGAGAAGCACCATGAAACGCTCTCTGCTCAGAGCAGCTGTGGCTACCTGCGCAAGACCAAGCCAGTTAAGCATCCCAGAATGGAGGAGGAAAAGGATCACGATACCCACCCTTAACTGAGGCACTGTTGACGGTTGATGGTTTCTGGGAGAGAGAAAGTCACTCTTCTTTAGAAGTGAAGACACCAATAAATTCCCATAGCACAAGGGATGTCCTTTATACTCATGTGCATTTGAGCAGCACTAATCAGACCTAATAAGTTACTAAAGGAGAGAAAGGGGGACACATAAAGTTATGAGGATGAAGATGTGTTGGGAGCCTCGAGGGAAGTTGGAGGAATGAAGTGAGGTGGACATGGTGCAATTTAAATTGTATATGTGTATAAAAATTTCAAAAGTTTCAAATAATAAAGATGTTTACAACAAAATCTCAAGAGCAGAGAATGTCCTATTGGCAAATTTTGTATTCTAGTTGCTATCTGAATGTTTGACATGGTAGATGATCAGTTGGTTTGTGTTCATTGGATGGCTATTCAGTGATTAAAAGTTTGAAGAGCTGGATCTTGGAGATAATGAATATGCACAAAATATGGTTTTTGTGAAAGGTCAGCTAAATTTTAAGTTGGAGCCATATTATAACCTATATATCTTGAACCAATACATTTCAAATTTAAAAGAAGCTTATCAAAATGTGAGGCATTTACCATTATGTTAGGAATTGTTGGAAATTCGATTGATATTCCTGATCAGCTGCTTAGGAGTCCATCTACATTGACCCAGTCAGAGGCTTCAGAGCATTGGTTGTGTGTGTGTGTGTGTGTGTGTGTGTGTGTGTGTGTGTGTGTGTGTGTGTGTGTAAGAGAGAGAGAGGACATCATGTATTTTCTAGTTGCTGAGCTTTGTTGCGACACTGAAAAGGGAAGAGGATTTAACGTTTACTCCGGCCCACAAGCCACGGTTTATAATTTGAGAACACTAGGTGGCAGGCAGAGACCACAGATACCCTGTTCCTCCACTATCAAACATTCCATACCTTTCCCCAGGTCTCCAGAGTTCTTCAGAAGGTGACACGTTACTTTCTAATTTTGCATTACATGTATTACAAATTCCTTTATATTTATAAATACTTATATTCTAGAGAAAAGGGCTGTGATAAATAAAATGGATGAAAATTTGAAGAAAATAGAATAAATTGCAAATTGCTAAAAACTTGCACAAGTTATACTAATGACAATAGTTGAATAGTATAATATATAATAATAATACTATATTGTCTTCTAGTGTTGGAAAACATTAAAACTATTTGTCATCTTTAAATTTAATGATTAATTTGTTTGCAAATACAAAATCGGTCACTTAAAAAAATGTCAAGATGTCAAATACAAATTTAAATGCAACTTTCATTTTCACAATTAAGATTAATACTAAAAAATACAAAGCATTTCACAACACGTCCAGTATAAATTGATATCATGAGATGAGAAAGCGTCTTTTTCAATGTGATCTAACTCGGTTCCAGAAATAGAAAGAATTATTTTAAACCTTTCTGGGAAAGGAGATTTTTGTGCCTCAAATGAACCACTCACACACTAATTCTTGTTCTTTATTTACTACTTGTCCATACAGACAGATTCATGGGACAGGAGTGACCGCACATAATCTTTCATCCAAAGAGCAACACTGCTGAGCGTGAAAGGGAGACTGCCCTGAGAACTGAGAAATAAGATCCCTCCACCCAAGGGTGCTGGCAGCCAGAGAACTCACTTCACCTTGCTTACACCAGGACTTCCTAAGGTTTTCAGATCTAAAATTCATTCTACTTGCTCTATTTCATGCCTCATTTGCCAGTAAGAACCCTTTCTCCTTCCAAGAGATCCTCGTGAACACCAGCAGGCAGACAATACTAAATCCCACAGACATTCACATCCACCAAGACATACCAAGAATGAGATGAATAGGTAAATATTTGGTTGATTCTGATGTAATTGGACTCTCTTGGGGAAATACATCATGAAATCCTATAAGAAATACTACAGGCTTGTGAAATCACTTTGTGGTTATGTGGATGACATGCATTGACTGCTCACTTCAAATTCCGTTTTTGCACTTGTAAAAAATCTTATGCAATAAAGCTTATTAAAACATTATTACTTAACTTTAATAAATAATTTGTACAAATATAATGAAAATTGGCCCTTTATTTTAGTAACAGCATATTCACTCTCAGTAGATGTGGTGCTGGGTAGAAACTGTTTTAACCAAATGCAGTTAATTATCCTTTGCTTTGGAAAAATTCCTAACAGCAGTTGCTAGATAAATTCAACTTTAAAGTTAATTTTTTTTCCTTAATAAATTGTTTTTATGCAAGTGTATAAGACTCACCTGTTTCTCAAACAGTGAATTCTTATAGGGGATGGAATACATTAGCTTTTTAATTGCATCAATGATTTACAGATAAATAATGGATTTTGCATGATTAAAAACACAAAAAATTGCTAGTTTAGAATGTGATAGCCGAAAGTGCTCACAAACATATTTTAAAATGCTTTCTTTGGCCACCCTTACACTTTCGCTGGGAATGGTCTAACTATAACATGCTTCATGTAAAAGTGTTTTTGTTTTGGTTGTTTTTAAAGAACCATGTTTCAAGGTAGTAGCTACAGAAACTCAAGTGGTCAGTTTAGACAGCAGAAACCTAAATTTGTCACACATGATTTTCATCTAATTTGTCTAACTTGTGGATGTAAGACTTTGATTTAGCATCCTCCTGATTAATTGCTTTGTGAGGCAAGGGCCATTTTGTAGGGGAGCCCATAGCCTTATTTAGAGACTGGCGCGTTCGAGCCCCATAAAGGACCAAAATAGAGGGCATAAGTCCTGCAGTAAAATTTTGAAGTAGACAAATGTGACTCTTTCCCAGAATGCCTTTCATCTGTGCATCATTCTTGACTTTACAGAAAAGTGGACTGGGAGCACTCTGCATGGTTTATGCTCTGTGTGGGAATACTGGCAGCATTAGCTACTAATTACAGATAATGTGATTTCGTATGCTTGTCAACTGTCTTTTAAGTGACCAAAATAGAAGATACTTCTTATTTGCTGTTTATTTCCTAAAACAGAACTACTTTGAGTATTAA